CGAACCCGGGTCTCCGGCGTACCGCAACAGGGAGCCAGCCGAGTGAGCTAAAGGAGACCTCCCCCAGCCCGGGCAGCGGAGAGCCCTGCTATGCGCAGGGAGGGCGATGACGTCACCGTGCCCAAACTAAGCGGAGCTACACAATGTCCAACTAGAGGTCAGACCAGACACTGGGATTAGAATAATGCTTCTGGATCGTTAATGACTACAAAGCACACGGGTGTTCCGTTGAACATTTCAGAAGATCGATGGAATCTTGTACAGCACAGTGTCTGATCACTGAAACACTATCCTACTGTAACCTGATTGTGTAAATAGATGTTGGTCACCACATGCATTAATTTGCTTAATTCACTGCAGCACCTAAAACCTCTGATAAAACTGACATTGGTAAAGGCAGGTTGAATCTACTCTACAACAGGGGACGTGCTGTGAGATGATGGAGAATGATTACAAACCAGCACGTGACGCGTCTAACATGATGCTCTTTCTACACTTCCTGTGTTGTAAAGAGTCCCCCTCTGAGCTGTGCTGGTACTGCATGAAGGCTTTCCCGTCGGAACAGCTGAAGGAGCACCAGGTAAAAGCGAGAGTCAAAGGCAGCCCACACGACATAGAACTCAGCTCAGCTAGATCTCAGATCACTGACAGCCCAGGGCGCAGAGAACGCGGGTCAGCTAGATCTCAGATCACTGACAGCCCAGGGCGCAGAGAACGCGGGTCAGCTAGATCCCGGATCACTGACAGTACAGGACACAGAGAACTCGTTTCACCTAGATCCCAGATCACTGACAGCCCAGACTGATGAGAACTCGGGTAATTGAGATCTCAGATCACTTACAGTCCAGGATAGAGAGAACTCAGGTAATTGAAACCTCAGACAAATGACAGTCCAGGATAGAGAGAACTCAGGTAATTGAGACCTCAGATCACTAGCAGCCTAGGCAACAGAGAACTCCTGTTGCTAAGATCTTAGATCACTGTCAGCCCAGGACACATAGAACTCGGGTCACCGAGAGCTTTGTTCTCTATAATGTATTTTCTTCTCTACAATGTATTTATTATTCTGGCTTTTACTATTTCTTATCTAGCATGTACATTGTGTACATCTGCTGTACTGTGCATGTCCCGAAAAATCTGCACGAATAATAATTCCAACACGCATAATGTAAAAATCCTCTACTCTATTACGCAGGACAAAGGCATCCCACTCCACAGATAATTCAAGTCATGGAAAGCACAGATCAGTGAGAATATAGGGTATAAACAGCCCAGAACACTGAACAAATACATCCCTTCTCATTTGTGAACAATTAAACATTATTGCAATACTGAAGCTTTCAACACAGGAGACGGCAGTGAGCTCTCTTCCTCATCACCTTCCAATCCTTACCGAAATCGTGACATGTAGCACCTAACGCTGTGCAGAAACAGCTCAAAAAGAACAGTTTAGTCAGGTCTGTTTTCTTTGAGTCCAAATTTTTTTTTAAATTTGGGATTGTCACGTTATCAGATCTGACAAGAATAACTCCAACCTTTCCCCTGTGACACAATAACACACCACATCCCTTCATGAGCATGTACCACTAAGAACAGGGTGTCGCATAATGTAAGATCATGTCTAAGGTCGACTGCAAGTCTCCATCTCATGGCTTCCTTCTCTCCCCTCTTCCAGAGGGGCTGTGATCAGTCTTCCCAGCCCAGCAAGGAGCTCCAGTACCAGTTGGACCCCCGGCCTCATTTTGGGGTCCCCCACTCCGCACACTCTCCCTCCTTCCCCCTCTGGGGGATCCGGGGGCTGAGCTGGGAGGACAGAGTGGGCGCGGACGAGTACGAGATCAGAGCCTGCTCGAACTGCCACCTGGCCCTCCCGCTGGCCACCCTGAGCTGGCACGAGGTACCCACCCTTCAGAGCCTGGCTGGCGCCCGCCAAGCCAGCTGATCTGTCCAGAGGGCTGTTTGGTGAAAAGTACAGTAGGTGGTGTGGTGCAGGTGGGAGTGTCCTCCGGGGCATCCATCTACCCCGTGGTTCCCCGAATTGCAAAGCTTCACAGGGCATATATTAACCACCCCGCTGTTTGAACAGGCCAACACCCACCCAAGCTAAAACGCACACCATTCTAGTGGCTCCTGACAATTTCGATTCTCCACAACAATATCAGTTGTTTTTCTAATATGACAGTGTGACAGTGTGGTCTACTGGGTTGCTGGAGATGGGGCAGGGGCAGGAACAGGGGCTGGGATAGGAGTAGGGGCAGGGGCTGGGGTAGGAGTAGGGGCAGGGGCAGGGGCAGGAACAGGGGCTGGGGTAGGAGTAGGGGCAGGGCCTGGGGCAGGAGCCGGGGCAGGAACAGGGGCTGGAG